CATTAAGTTGATAAAGAGTTGATATAGAATAAATTGTAAGTTATTAATTTTAATTATTATTTATATCAATTGATTAATTTTATCTATAACTTTTTTTCTGTTAAATTATTTTTCTGTTAAATTATCATGAATAATTAAAAAAATAATAAAAAAATTATGTTCCGATAAATGTCTCATATAAAGTAAAGAAGCTAAAAATCAGGAGAAAAATGATTTGAAAAATATACTTTTTTTCAAGAAACTTACAGTGAAGTCTATGTTCTCCGATAATTTTTTGGTCGCTAGGAAGATATCATTTAGAGCACGCACCATAATCCCAGGACTTGATGACGTCCCTACCATTGTGTGCGTTTTTCCTGAGCCTGTTGCACCATACGCAAACACAGTTGCATTATAACCATTTAGAACATCCTGCGCTAAATTTTTTGTTGTACCTTCGTAGACTTCTTCCTACAGGATAATAATTTTAATGAATAAATCGGTACAAATGTTTCAAAGATATAACAGAAAATATGTATTTAAATAATTGGTTCAGAATTAATAATTAATTTTACTTGTGTCGAAGTTTCTCCGAAAACTATATCATAGAGATATTGTCGTGGCATTGTACGTTTTTGTTTATCACCATCCTGATCTTCTAGCATTACCATCTGCAGTTTGACCATAAAAATATTTTGATAAAAGTTATACAAATTCGAATTAAATTAGTGAATAACAAGATAAAAATATATATACAGGATGTTCCAAAACTCCCGCATTTGGAATACGCTACGTGATTTTTTATGTTGATTTTTTATGTTAAAAGAAACAACTTTTTCCTTTAGCAAAATTGCGTGCGACGAGTAGTTTTACAGTAAATTAAATTAAAAGTAACTTATGAGCGAGTGTATGTGCGTAGCGATCAGGACCGGCGCGCGTTCTTCAGGCCTAGGACTTAATCTTTGACGACTTCACGTATTGTATTGTTTAAAATATAATACAAGTTAACAAAATAAGTATTTGTATTCATCCTTTACAATTCGTAACAATTCAATAAAAAAATTGTCTGATTTCGTAGCATTATCTGGAAATAAAAATAAATTATATCATGTATGAATTGAGCATTCTATTATTTTAATTATTTTTTTATTGTCGTATGCGCAATTGCATATAATAATAAAAAAATACTGAATTTAATGAATACTTATTAATTACGTGAGCACGTAATCACAAAAAGTAAAAAAATTGATTTTTTATAATAATATCTAAATAATTTGTTAAATTCAGTATATTTTTTTGTTATATGCAATTGTGTAGTAATTAAATTAATAGAATGCTCAGTTCATACACTATAGTGTATTTACATTTATTTTTATTTCGAGATAATGCTATGAAATCAGACAATTTTTTTATTAAAGGATGAAAACAATACTTATTTTGTTAACTTTTATCATATTTTAAACAATATAATACGTGAAGTCGTCAAAGATTAAGTACCAGTACTGCGCCTGAGAAACGTGCGTCAGCCCTGACCGCACCTATGCACATACGCGCATTCATTCGTCACTTTTAATCTGATCCACTATAAAAACTGTTCGTCGCACGCAATTTTGCT